TATTATGTATCGAGGGTTCTAATAATACTTATATATATGGTACTGTTTGAGTACTGAGTTTGTATTTTCTCAATATGCGTTGAGCAGGTTAATTTCTTGGGGATAAATATATTGTTGTTGTTATTTTCGATAAATTGTAAAGCCTATTGAAAAATACACACCCAGATAAAATTAGATTATTTAAAACATATACTGGTATAAAGGAAAAAAGGTGAGACTTGCATATAGCTACACAGATGTTTTTTTAAATCACCGGCTCATCTGAAATTCACTTCAAGTATCATATTATTTTCCATCGAAATAATGATCTCACAACCACATAATTAAATTAGTAATTAATCAAACTATTGGCAATCAAATTCATCATCAATTTTGTTGAAATGATATAAAAGTACTCGCGTAAACAAACCTGACAGTTTAAAAGGCAATATATATGGTTGATGTCTCCCATATTCCTCACAGAAAATTTGGCAATTCTCTCTTGGAAAATAAGATGAAAAATGACCAATAGTAAGTTTGAAATATAAAAAGAGCTCAATGCTTCTTTGGCGCGACATAGCTAAAATAGAGATGAGACCATGGTTTGGATTTCAATACCCCGAAAGGGACGCGCTTAAAAGAAGGTGCTGTTTCCAACTTTGGTTACTGGGTTTTTCGTTTCTTGACTCTGAAATGATAGTGGCTGATCTCGTCCAATTTTCAGAATCTTTCTATGAAATTGTTCGAATATATATATATATCAAATTTTCAGAATCTGGTAGGTAGTCCAGTTGAAAACGAACCCAAGTAGATAGAACGTCACTGTCCAAGATCTTTTCTTATAATGATGCTCCTTTGCCCATCTTTTGACCGAAGAAGCCGGCAACAGTGAAGGCGCTGGGTGAAGATCACTCTCGTGCGAAGAAGACGACAAAGCGGCGTAAGAAGAACAAGAATCTGGGAGGAGAATGAACTGCTAAGGTTAAATGGCATCAACAGTTTATAGAATCTGTGTAGTGCTGGCCCTAAGCGTCATCTTTTATGAGCTTCTGATCTCTATATTTTGAATTAAATAAAATATTCAGTGACTAAATGTGAGACCTGTGAGTTATGGAGTCTAAGTTAAGCTATGTGTGGAGTTTTTCTGTTGCCAATATCGGGAGGGACATTCAACAAGGTAGTGATGACTCAACATTTGTTCATGTCTTATTAACAGTATCTTTTAGTACAAATTAAGCATTTCAGTAGTAAGAGAATAATTTTTGGAGTCTTGCAATTATTATATATGAAAGGACATGATTAGCTGCGAAAGGTATAACCTCGTATGGCCATGCAAAATTCAATTTGTAAACTGCACAATCAAAATAATGGGAAAACAAGCACCGCAGTAAACATCTAATTGTATAGCCGCCACATATGAGGAACTGCATTAATATAAATGAACAATCCAGTATATTAAGATTTTCACATTACACAAAGCATTCGGTACATATTTAATATTCACATAGGATGAGGATGTAAAAAAGCCATAGGAAAAGAGGAGTAAAGATCACAAAACACAAAGTATACATAGCATAATACAGTGCACCGATGCATGAAATCCTACAGTAGTGTTATTAGCGTATCAGGCATCAGACCATGCAATATCGTACCAGCCCCACTGACTCCTGGGAATTCCCAAACCTTCCCAGACAGCCTTGGAGGCATCAACAATGTTGTTGTCACATGGAGGTTGGTAATCATGGTCTGCATCACAGCCTCTAGTGGAATCACACTCGTCAACCACCATGGCCACCACGCTCCGACCATTGGCAGTTATGGTGATGTTCTTGAGACACCTACTCTTGTGGTTGAACCAGCCAGTGGAAAGTGCCACAACTGGTTTGTCATCAGAATGATAGTGATTGTCACATTCTGAAGGGCCTCCTCCATCTCCGCCTTTCTCAAAACTGTTCAGTGTGAGATGTGCCTTTGTGTGGGAAGAGACTGGTGGTGAACACTTGTAAACTGGATACAATTTCCCTTCTTTACAGCAGTCTGAATCATTCTCTTTGTTACATTGTCCAGGAGGTGCCTTTTTCCCTTTCACCGCACCACTTTGGCGACATTTCTGAGCTTCAATAATGTACAAACAATTCGTTGCAAGGAGGATAACCAGTAGAAGCAAGGATGGCTTTCTGCAAAACACCTTCATTCTGATTTTGTTAATTTCTTTGTCTCTCTCCTTCGTGAGCTCACGACGTTTTGATTTATGGTATGGGTGACAATTTTAATGTGTTTGTGTGTGTATATATGTAAGTTGATCTATAAAGGTTCCTTTTTTTTGGTCAGCCATTGAGTTCTGTTTCGCCGTTACTTAACCATAATGATGATAACTACATCATCTTTGTAGGGCTTTTCCTTTGTTTTGGCCATTAGCATTCAAATCCTAAAAACAATTAAAAAAGGTAATGAAGAATTTTACGTTGCCTGGTTTCCACTGCAAGACAAGATTAGAGCATATAACTCATAATTTGCTTTGCCGGTGATGACCAGATAAACCCAAAGGCAACATGTTTAATTTAACACACTTGTTTGATTTAATCTTCTTTAATTTTGAGATGCTTTGCTGACATGCAATCAATTTAGTTTTATTTTTCTTTCATTTCAATTTCTAAGAGTACGCTACCTTATGTAAATGGGTTCAGTATCATCTAGATTTATCAAAATACAAGACTGTTATGAATAGGAGTTAGATCTAACAAAAGGGTTGGTCTACTACGTAGGTTCGAATTCCGTTAAAAAAGGTACCCATGTTTATTGTCTAATGGTATCCTGAATAAAATTGCTCTAATTATGGACATACCGAATTACTCGATGAATTTCAGATACGCCCTGAAATCCTTGAAGGACTGATGAGGTGAACATAAAAAATAGAAAGTATAAAATAAAAAAAGTGAGAGGGATCGAAGTTGAACCTAAGTTAAAATCATTACCATTCAGTATATAAACTTCAACCTTTTTTATTTTTATTTTGCCAACATATTTAAACTTCTCTGGATGCTCTTGTAAACACGTCTTGGACCTTGTAATAACTCTTCAGCCCGATTTAGAGATACCCATCCACCAAACAAACAATAAAAAGGGAAAGCTGGTAAACAGTATTGGGCCTTTAAAAAAATATATGGTCTTTCAATTTTATCTTAACATTTTTTTTTGGGCGAAGGAAGTTTATCTCTCAAATCTTGGATAAAATTAAAAAAAATTAAACACAGGAAAGGTGCAGTAATAGACTTTAATCATTTTATGATCTTACAGTGATAGAGATAGCTTCTTTCATCATAAACAAGATATTCCCCCCGTTCCTTATTATAAGAGACGAATAACCGAATTACCTTAATTAAAAAAACAGTTAAAATTAGTTAAGAACAATCAATGTGTAAAAAGTATAATCTTTTTTCCAAAAATACCCTCATTAATAAGGAGAGAGAGCATAAAAGAGAACAATTAAATTATTAAAAGAAAGAGAAGTGGGAGGGAGGGAGAGTATGAGTTGGAAACAATAAATATGGGTAAAATAGAAAATCAACACAAAAAAGTATAGACAACTGTTAAGTTCTCTTATATATAGGAACATGCTATAAGTATCAAATGTCTCTTATAATAAGGAATGGAGGGAGTATCCCGCACGCGACGCCTCAATTGTGTTGCCGGAGACTGCCAGGCGCACAGTCATATGACACGTCACCATGAGAAAATATTTTAAGCCTACCTTATCTAATACACCAACAATTTTTCTGTCGGATGCTCAAATAAAATCAAAGATATATGTCGGTAAGAAAAAAAAAATCAAAGATATATATGTGCGTGTATAAATCACGCGCACACATATATAAATTACAACTTAATTTATTATGCAGGTCAAAAATTGTTTATTATGACGAAGGGGCTTGGCCATACACGTCTATGTCCGGTGAGGTGACAAATGAGACCTATGACCTGGTCTTTGTGTTGCGACTCTTCCTTTCGACTTTTCCAAACTACACATCTAATTCCAAGCAACATCTCCCGGATGAAGAAGGAAAAAGAAAACAAGAGTACTTAAAAAACATGAGAGAGAGAAAAATAATTTATAATTATGCCTGATGTTTTTTCTTTCTCTTTTTTTTTTGAATGAACAAAAAGAAAAAAAAAGTTTCAGTAGATAGGCATCTCATTCGATAGGAGTTTAACATATCCCCGGGGGGGGGGGGCAAGTCTCGTAAAATCTAATCATTACATTACAGTTTTCCACAGCATGTACACATCATCTGTATCAACTTCCATGAACTCATTAAATAAACAGACATCATCCCAGGATTTTTACAGGCGCTGCCACCCACACAGGAGCTATAATTACATCATCGTATCTGTTAGAGCAGGCAGGCGGCGGAAGAAATTCGCCGGCTGCGATGGCATCTTGTGTCTGAGTTTCGGATGCCTCATGAGATAAAATCCAGCAAACAGAACTATAATCTGAAATGGTGTCACATACAATACTAATGCAGCCACAAGACATATTACCATGAATATGGCTGTGGCGCGAGGATCCCTCCAGCTTAGAAGTGCATGGATCCTCTCTCCTTGTGTAGCTATGTCTCCGACAACGCTCTGAATCCTCCCGGCCACGCTCCTTAACCGATCATACCTGTGACGTACGACGTCTGGGCTTTTTGTGGTCGGAAAAGTGTCGAACTCCTCATCAAGTTCATCTGGCATCACAACATCTGCTTGAGAGATTCTAACGTCCATATGAGGAGGTTTTCTTGGTCTGAACCTCCACTTCCACATTCCAATCACGAACATGTAAAGAAAAATTGTTGGAAGGATGAGTTCTGGGAAACACACGAGCATGAGAAACAGAATGTGTACTAGCACTGTTGTTAGAGGATTCTTCCACCTTGAAACTTCCCCAATCCATCTTCCTACTGAGAGTAATCCATGGAAAACTTGCATCAAACGGCAGAAATTCGCCTTGCTACGTCTCATGCTCCATTTATGAGAATCTGTATCAGACATGTACTCAACCACCTCCTTCCTCAAAGGCGGCTCAGCTCGGCTCAGTCGAGCTGCCACAATGTTCACAGCTTGGTGACGAAGCTTCTCCTGCTCCATAATATTAAGTGGCTTCACATAGTGCATCTTAGGCAAATGGGGTTTGAAATACAGATGCATCATATTCATCATTGATGTACAGGAAAATCTTATTGCCAAGTGAAGATCCCCTGTCTTCCTCACCCCAGAAGGTTGCAGCATAAGTAGAGGGTAAGAGTGTGTGTAAACTCGACCCGTTTCAAGGGTAGAGATCCGGATTCGAACCTTGCCAATTCTTGCGTCTTTATTACCACCATTTGAGGAATGAATCTGAGCATTATCAAATACCCCAATAGTAAGAACTGTTGCTGTATCATGCACTTCCCATGTGTATTGCTCATTGTACCTCGGATTAAGGCTGTCAATAATGGTCCTAGTTCGAACCCATTTTTGTCCATACTTTGCCACGCAGTATGTATCACAAGTCCCCTTCCCTTCCCTTGTTTTTGTGGGTTGAAGTCCATCAATGTTCAGAATCCCAAGTTCTAAGATCCCAATTGACTTCTTCCAGAGCTGCTTTGCCGTAGGACGAAGATCACTACTGTAATAAGTTGATTCATCAAGCACATGATAGCCGCCTTCAAGATAGACATTGAGGTGAAGCCTGCTGAAGAACTTATCTTTTTCTTTCTTTTTTCCGTGCTCCGCACTTTCCACGGCAGATGAAACAGATTTTTCAAGGTGGTACCATTTACTTGGGACAAATCGATCATCTGCACGCCTTACCACTGTATTCAAAGGTATAACAAGATTGCCAATAGTCTCATCCTTGTTAGGACCAACACGATCTTCAACTGAAATGATTAATGGTTCATCAAAGGGTTCTGCAGCAACAAACATTAGCTCCTGCTCCCAACGCGGGTTCAGGGTCCTGGCTTGAACAGATTTCGTCTTCAAAATTTGGTTACCCAACCGTGCCTTCACATATGCATCTGGAAATCGAGCTTTCTCTGGCACAATTAAGTCTTGTGCTTCAATTACCCTTACTCGAACATACCACAGTCTCGGTGAATGATAGACTTTTGATCGAATCTGAGAGTAGGCAGCTGAAGAGCTTCCACCAGGAGATATTGCATCAGAATGCCAAGCATCAGCAAAAGCCTCATCAGCTTGTGTGCCATACCATACTGCAAGCATCAATTCACCATTCTTTCTTTCCCGATTTTTGTTCTCGATCCAATACCATTGTGGAGCCAGTGGACTATCAGGTGGAGCCCTCTTAGGAACGTCATGAAGATCAATCCTTATAGTTCCAACAAGATCATCAAGAACCACATCCTTGTCTTTAATCACAACCTCGAGAAAAGATGATTGCACATTGTCCCCTGCAAAGGCAAACACCTCATTCCATTCAGGGTTTTTGTTCTTCTCGAAGTGCTTGGTGGTTCCTTTGTAGTTTCCAACCTTAACCTCCACATATGGATCAAGGCTGCCAGTGACGTCTTTCGTTGGAAGGTCTCGAGCTTTCACAACTCGCACAAAAAGGTACTGCATCTGTTCAACAAGATCATAGGTGCTGGCAGGCCTATTCCCACGTTTAATTCTCCCATCAACAACTCGTCCTCCTCCAAGAAATGGACTAGTCTCTTTGAGTGCAAAATCAACCGGAGATGACGCGCTTGCAAATGCTTGTACAGCTTTTGCAGCAGGCTGTGCGGATTTCATCTCATTCATAGCGAAGTTTACACTCTGCTGTAAACTTGGTTTGGGTGAAGGATCTTGTTTTGATTGAGGAAGCTTATGAAATGTGCGCTTTGACTCAGTTTTCTTCTGGGGAATGGTGTTCTTGATTGCATCTGTAAACGATACTGGAGTCCGAATTTGATCTTCAGTTGAGTGATCTGTGTTCAAAAGGGGTTCCATAGGAGGAAGAGGGTTTGATGATCGTACAGAAGGATCATTTACGACGTAGACTTTCAAACCAAGCTCTCCTTTTACGCGTCCAATAAAGCCTTTCTTTTCAAGAGGATAGTGCAAATCAACAGCATCAGAATAGGGAACAAATGATGTTCCAGTTAGCCGAACCTTGCCAATAAAGTGTTTGGACCCAGATGTTTTGTTGTAGTGATAGACAGTGGCTTC